GAAGAGTCTTGCCCAAGGACACAACGACAATGAAAGTCGGAGCCAGGGCTTGCACCGTCAATCCTTCAATTTCAGGGCAAACTCCTACATCCGACGCCACTGTCGCCCCATGATTAATGAATGATTAATATCATTTATAAAAGATTTGATTAAGAAACGTGGAGATAAAAACTCTGAGGACTAAAGTGACGAGTAGCTAAAAGGTTTGGATTTAATCTCAGACACATTTAATGCTTTAGCAGCTAATTGAAGTGCAGCAATCAAACAATCGGATAATTTAAATCCGGTGATTGTTAAAACATCCTAGATTAATTTAAAGGTCGATTCATTGATAACAAACTCATTCCAGATCTAAATATTTTGCTTAAATTGCAGTTTTTTCTTCCAAGCAAAACAGCAACAATAAAGTTAACAATATAGTTTACTTTACCTCAGATGCCTTCTGTCGCTAATTAGCTTCATAGCTAAAAAAAACAATATTTAAATTAATTTTTAATCTAACAACAGAAAAAAAAGTTTTTTTCTACACATGTTAAAAAAATTCAAGCATGAAGGGACTAAAACGTCCTGATCTGTTCCAAATAAATCTGATCAACTTTCTGATCTGCAGGACTTTGAAGATCCTGGATTTTCTTCAGAGCCTCAGCCTTAAATGTCCTGCTTTATGCTACATTCAGACCGATTGCTGCAGAAGCTGCTGGTTTCCATGCAAAGTCAATGGTTGATGCACATCGATGCGCATCAAAGGTAGAAACAGTAGGTCTCGGGTCAGAAGCTCCATCATCCCCATAAAGAACAGAGCCATACCTGGTAGTCCAGCGTGCCGTTATCATGGAGGTTAAAGATGGCCGACCCCACGCCTCCTGTTTTCCCTGGCATCAGTGCATCTCCACTGGACATCACGCTCTGGATGGCTGAAGCAGACAGTCAGAAACACACAGATCCTGCAGTTAGTCTGAGCTGAGGGGGGATGGAGGTAATGAGGAACAGCAGCGCAGGAAGGACTGAAGCCAAGCTGCAGTTAGACGACAGCAGAGCCGGAGAAGAACGCTGGAGCTGGATTCCTGATGGATTACATCAACCGCTGCTAATCCAACGGTTGGGAAGCAGCTCCAACGCGCTGACCTTGGCTGCTTTCTGAACACGCAGTTCTGCTCAATAAAAACCCAAATCAGCGGTTTGACAGAACCGGACTCACTAATGGACGTGATCGTGAGTCCCGTGGAATTGGCCATGTGTTCCTGTTTTATTATCTGCAGACGTTCAGGCCGCCGCTGCATTCCTGAAACGGATTCAGACGCACACATGTGGCGGCCCTCAGGAACCGGCTCCAACCAAAGCTCCATAAACATCAACTCCAGAGACGGGAGGACGAAAGCAGCCGCAGATGGACGGGAGGACGAAAGCAGCCGCAGATGGACAGGAGGACGAAAGCAGCCGCAGATGGACAGGAGGACGAAAGCAGATGGTCGGGAGGACGAAAGCAGCCGCAGATGACAGGAGGACGAAAGCAGCCCCAGAAGGACGGGAGGACGAAAGCAGCCGCAGATGGACGGGAGGACGAAAGCAGCCGCAGATGGACGGGAGGACCAAAGCAGCCCCAGAAGGACGGGAGGACGAAAGCAGCCGCAGATGGACGGGAGGACGAAAGCAGCACCAGATGGACAGGAGGACCAAAGCAGCCCCAGAAGGACGGGAGGACGAAAGCAGCCGCAGATGGACAGGAGGACGAAAGCAGCCCCAGAAGGACGGGAGGACGAAAGCAGCCGCAGATGGACGGGAGGACGAAAGCAGCCCCAGAAGGACGGGAGGACGAAAGCAGCCGCAGATGGACGGGAGGACGAAAGCAGCCGCAGATGGACGGGAGGACGAAAGCAGCCGCAGAAGGACGGGAGGACGAAAGCAGCCCCAGATGGACGGGAGGACGAAAGCAGCCCCAGAAGGACGGGAGGACGAAAGCAGCCCCAGAAGGACGGGAGGACGAAAGCAGCCCCAGATGGACGGGAGGACGAAAGCAGCCCCAGAAGGACGGGAGGACGAAAGCAGCCCCAGATGGACGGGAGGACGAAAGCAGCCGCAGATGGACAGGAGGACGAAAGCAGCCGCAGATGGACGGGAGGACGAAAGCAGCCGCAGATGGACGGGAGGACGAAAGCAGATGGACGGGAGGACGAAAGCAGCCGCAGATGGACGGGAGAACGAAAGCAGCCGCAGATGGACAGGAGGACGAAAGCAGCCGCAGATGGACTGGAGGACGAAAGAAGCCGCAGATGGACGGGAGGACGAAAGCAGCCGCAGATGGACAGGAGGACGAAAGCATCCGCAGATGGACAAGAGGACGAAAGCAGCCGCAGATGGACGGGAGGACGAAAGCAGCCGCAGATGGACAGGAAAGCAGCCGCAGATGGACAGGAGGACGAAAGCAGCCGCAGATGGACGGGAGGACGAAAGCAGCCGCAGATGGACGGGAGGACGAAAGCATCCGCAGATGGACGGGAGGACGAAAGCAGCCGCAGATGGACGAGAGGACGAAAGCAGCCGCAGATGGACAGGAAAGCAGCCGCAGATGGACGGGAGGACGAAAGCAGCCGCAGATGGACGGGAGGACGAAAGCAGCCGCAGATGGATGGGAGGACGAAAGCAGCCGCACATGGACGGGAGGACGAAAGCATCCGCAGATGGACGGGAGGACGAAAGCAGCCGCAGATGGACAGGAGGACGAAAGCAGCCCCAGAAGGACGGGAGGACGAAAGCAGCCGCAGATGGACAGGAGGACGAAAGCATCCGCAGATGGACAAGAGGACGAAAGCAGCCGCAGATGGACGGGAGGACGAAAGCAGCCGCAGATGGACGGGAGGACGAAAGCAGCCGCAGATGGACAGGAAAGGAGCCGCAGATGGACGGGAGGACGAAAGCAGCCGCAGATGGACAGGAGGACGAAAGCATCCGCAGATGGACGGGAGGACGAAAGCAGCCGCAGATGGACAAGAGGACGAAAGCAGCCGCAGATGGACGGGAGGACGAAAGCAGCCGCAGATGAACGGGAGGACGAAAGCAGCCCCAGAAGGACGGGAGGACGAAAGCAGCCGCAGATGGACGGGAGGACGAAAGCAGCCGCAGATGGACGGGAGGACGAAAGCAGCCGCAGATGGACATGAGGACGAAAGCAGCCCCAGAAGGACGGGAGGACGAAAGCAGCTGCAGATGGACGGGAGGACGAAAGCAGCCGCAGATGGACAGGAGGACGAAAGCAGCCCCAGAAGGACGGGAGGACGAAAGCAGCCCCAGAAGGACGGGAGGACGAAAGCAGCCCCAGATGGACGGGAGTACGAAAGCAGCCCCAGAAGGACGGGAGGACGAAAGCAGCCCCAGATGGACGGGAGGACGAAAGCAGCCGCAGATGGACAGGAGGACGAAAGCAGCCGCAGATGGACGGGAGGACGAAAGCAGCCGCAGATGGACGGGAAGACGAAAGCAGATGGACGGGAGGACGAAAGCAGCCGCAGATGGACGGGAGGACGAAAGCAGCCGCAGATGGACAGGAGGACGAAAGCAGCCGCAGATGGACTGGAGGACGAAAGCAGCCGCAGATGGACGGGAGGACGAAAGCAGCCGCAGATGGACGGGAGGACGAAAGCATCCGCAGATGGACGGGAGGACGAAAGCAGCCGCAGATGGACAGGAGGACGAAAGCAGCCCCAGAAGGACGGGAGGACGAAAGCAGCCACAGATGGACAGGAGGACGAAAGCATCCGCAGATGGACAAGAGGACGAAAGCAGCCGCAGATGGACGGGAGGACGAAAGCAGCCGCAGATGGACGGGAGGACGAAAGCAGCCGCAGATGGACAGGAAAGCAGCCGCAGATGGACGGGAGGACGAAAGCAGCCGCAGATGGACAGGAGGACGAAAGCATCCGCAGATGGACGGAAGGACGAAAGCAGCCGCAGATGGACGGGAGGACGAAAGCAGCCGCAGATGGACGAGAGGACGAAAGCATCCGCAGATGGACAAGAGGACGAAAGCAGCCGCAGATGGACAGGAAAGCAGCCGCAGATGGACGGGAGGACGAAAGCAGCCGCAGATGGACAGGAGGACGAAAGCAGCCGCAGATGGACGGGAGGACGAAAGCATCCGCAGATGGACAAGAGGACGAAAGCAGCCGCAGATGGACAGGAAAGCAGCCGCAGATGGACGGGAGGACGAAAGCAGCCGCAGATGGACAGGAGGACGAAAGCATCCGCAGATGGACGGGAGGACGAAAGCAGCCGCAGATGGACAAGAGGACCAAAGCAGCCGCAGATGGACAAGAGGACGAAAGCAGCCGCAGATGGACAGGAAAGCAGCCGCAGATGGACGGGAGGACGAAAGCAGCCGCAGATGGACGGGAGGACGAAAGCAGCCGCAGATGGACAGGAGGACGAAAGCAGCCGCAGATGGACGGGAGGACGAAAGCATCCGCAGATGGACAAGAGGACGAAAGCAGCCGCAGATGGACAGGAAAGCAGCCGCAGATGGACAGGAGGACGAAAGCATCCGCAGATGGACGGGAGGACGAAAGCAGCCGCAGATGGACGGGAGGACGAAAGCAGCCGCAGATGGACAGGAAAGCAGCCGCAGATGGACAGGAGGACGAAAGCATCCGCAGATGGACGGGAGGACGAAAGCATCCGCAGATGGACAAGAGGACGAAAGCAGCCGCAGATGGACAGGAAAGCAGCCGCAGATGGACAGGAGGACGAAAGCATCCGCAGATGGACAGGAGGACGAAAGCAGCCGCAGATGGACGAGGACTGCTCCTCAAATGATGGAGGTAGGGTCTCCATTCAGCCCCGTCACTCAGACCCCCTTAAAGGTCTTCTAGCTCTCAGGGATCAACAGTAAAGATGGAGAATCTGTTCCACTGACTGATCCTTTAGCAAAGCGAACATGTGAGACGGACGCCGCCGGATGCCGGTGGTCTTCGCAGGGTCCCTCAGGTCAACGCTATGTGTGAAACACGGCGGTGGAAGCATCATGCTGCTGCTCACACAGCCCCCCCCCCCCAGCTAAATGGCCCACACAAACCTGCAGAGAATCACTTACTGTCGCAGGATTTCCTCCCCGTGATGAAGCCTGAGATCTGTCTGGGATCCTGGCCCTCCGTCGCCACGGCGATTTCCAGCTGCCCACGGGATAACCAGAAGAGCTCTCTGCTGTTCAGGTCTGTCAGCACCTCAGCGAAGTCCGGGTCCTGCACAGATTGAAGCCGTTAGCCAGACTGCGAGCCGATTGGTCGGCCATAAAAACGTTCTGTTGACATGAGGTTTGGTGTCCGGCTCTAAACAAGAACGCAGGAGAGAGCGAAACAAATCAGGCGGCGGCTGGATCTGCTGGAGGTTAGATAAATACCGCAGTCTGAGGGCATGACGGAGTCAGAACCCCCGCCCCCATTCACTGAGCGCGAGGGGGGGGGGACATGGCCGCTGATTTAAGGCCAGACTGACAGTCGACCTGAGATGCTGGATTCATTGGACACGTGTCCTTTATGACCCCCGGCCTCAGCTCAGTGTAAATATACAGGGAGCATAAATCCATGGGGGGAGCAGATGGATGTATGGGGGGGGCAGCAGAGGTATGCCCCCCCCCCCACCGGCCGGAGAGGCTCAGCTCTCCAGATGAGATTCGATTGATTTAGTAAATTCTTCTTCGTTGGTTTTTTGTTCCATGAATCAGAGAGAAAAACGAATTAAAAGAATTTTTGTTAATTTTAAGATAGAAAACTTTCAGACATTTTAACAGAAGCTAAACCTGCTGATTTTTAGAGCATATTTACAGATTTATTTTCATCTCTTTCTGTTTGTTTTTTTTCATTTTTGGCTTCATTTTGCTCTGAGAGAAATGATTTCACCATCTTTAATGCTTGAATCCGGCGCTGCAAAAACATCTAGAAAAAAGTCTCAATGTCTTTAATTAATTAATTTTAGCAGATAATTAAGAGAATCTGCTACTGGAAGGAGTATTTTCACTCTTATAAGATAATTAGATAATATGCACTAGAAATATTTTTTTTCTTATTTTAAATGTTAAATTGTCTCGTTGTAACCGATACTCAGAGCATAATGCAGCCACCACCGTGCTTCTCAGGTGTTTGGGCTGCGTCTCATTGTAGCTCCTGATCAATGCCGAGGCTAAAAACGCCTCAAACTGTTTTGAGGCCAGAAAACGTCTCCACATGTTTGCAGGCTTCGCCGTGTGAAATAAAAGCGTGCAGGAAGTGCGGCGTGTTAAAATGTTGAGGAGAACATCAGCGGGTTTTTCCTGAGCCGGAATGATGGCGGCTCATCCTGAACCGGACCGGTTCTGTAAACACAGCGACCTAAAGAGACACATCGGCCCTCATGGCAGAATTAAAACCAGACGCACCTTTCAGCACCTCCTCCTCCTCCTCCTCCTCCTCTGGGGCCACATACCGCTAACCACTGACATGTGTGTGGCGTGCTGAGCCCCCCCCCCACTTCCTCTCTGTCTCATCCGCTGCCCCTATCTGTCTCACCAACACTTTCTGTTTCCTTCTCCATCCAGACGTGTTTCTGCTGCCGGATCAGGGCGGCGAGCAGCGATACCGCGGCTGTGATGTGGCGGCAGAACCACATCCGTTTCCTTTAGTGTTTGGGACGGGGGGGGGGGGGGGGGGGGGGGGGGTATAAGAGGGGTGAGTGTGACTCACGCTGGAGGTGATGTTGGCCCGGACCTCTCTGAGGACGTGTTGGCGGTACATCAGCTGGACTCGAATCGGAACCACAACCGGATCTGAGGAGAAAAGGTTTCCTTTTATTTCCACCTTTAGGCCTCCAGCCCCCCCACCTCTGCACCCCCCACCTCTGCACCCCCCACCTCTGCACCCCCCCACCTCTGCACCCCCCCACCTCACCTTTGCTGTTGTGCGTGATGAGACCCTGCAGCAGCAGGATGAAGTGCAGGTTGTTCTCGCTGTCGCTCAGCGTCAGCATGGCGATGCCGCCCATTCCTGCGTTCTCCTCCTCTGAGGTCAGCATTGAGCTGAACGTCTCTGAGAGAGAGAGAGAGAGAGAGAGAGAGAGAGAGAGAGAGAGAGAGAGAGAGAGAGAGAGACATTAACTCTGCCCGCTCCTTTAAACCAGCGCCTCCTACTGGGAGCCGATGGTCGGAGGATCTCCAAACATGGCGTCTCACCAGCAAACAGCGCCCTGTGCTTGATGATCTTTCCCTCCACCTCTTCCCGTCTGCCCGCCGCCGTCGTCATCCTGATGCGCATTTGCTCAGACTGCAGCTGCCGCATGGCGGGTTTCGCCAAGTTCTTCCAAACGCCGCAGATCTGCAGACGGAAACAAGTTTAGAGAAACACCCCCGTTTACTCTGATCCCCCTAAATAAGCCGTCGGTCTGAGCAGACGCCACCCATCAGACAGGCTTCAGTCAGCAGAGATGATCTCAGATGTTTCACCGACTGAACACAGAAACATGGCGGCGGCCGCGCCACGGGAACCTGCCGCTGAGCCCCCCCCCTTCTGCAGGGCTGTGGTGTTTCCTCTGAGCTTGACGCTTTATCTAGGAATAAGAGCGGGCCAGTCGAGGGGCTCCTGCCTCGCTGGATGAGGTGGAATGTGGAGACGTGTGTTTTGGCAGGAAATCCGATGCAGTGCTGCAGACTGACCTTAACATGTGGCCTCAGCGCTCATCCACTCTACTATAGGTGCTGTGATTTATGAGGAGGCGTCTGCACATGTTTATGGGTTCTGATCCTACAGAAGCTCATGAGGACAGGATTCAGGAAACCAAATCAGACCCAGATGGAGGACGGGACGCGGTCTTACCATGTCCACCTGTCCTTTGGGGACTTTATATTCTAAAGCAGGGGTCCCGTCTGAGTCCAGGAGGGTGATCTTACTGGGGCGGCCCATTCTGGGGAAACAGGAAGCAGACAGCATGAGAACATCTGGTTTCTGGATCAACAACAGCTCGAAGCGAATTATTTGAAAAGAAGAGACCAGAAATGTTAAAGAAACACAAAGAGGCGACTGGTTGGTTCTGGTTTGAACTGGTTTTACCTTTGGTACGTAACAGAGAAGGTGAGTGTGGTTCTGGTCAGAGACAGACGGACTCTGGCGACTCCGCTGGAGCTGGGCAGCCATGAGTCCGTCACTCCGGTCAGCACGGCCACGAAGTCTGCAGCGGAGGAGAAAAGGTAGACTGCTCCTTCAGTAGCTGGAGGAGGCACAGGCCCCGCCTCCTTCCTGGAGGTTCAGCTTACCTGTGCGGCCCTCCCCCAGCCCGGTGTCCTCAGAGCTCAGGTAGGATCTGTCGTTGTAGGACTTGTGGAGGTCGTCCTCTTTGCCCTTCTCATGGAAAAAGTCGAAGCTGTCCAGAGGAGAATCCGTCTGCTTTTTACCGTCTGAACCTGCAGAAGAAGAAAAGCAGAGATCACCACACTGAGGCCTCCATCCTCACAGGTGGAGGAGGTGAGGCTCCACCCCCGCCTGGCGTCTCCTCCATCCTAACTTCCTCTGCTGATAAACTGATGAGGTCACAAAGTCCTGACCAGGCTGGTCTCAGCGTAACCCGGAGGTCAGAACCTTCCTGGAGGCTCCGCCTCTCCTGGCCTGGATCCGTCTCCCAGCTCAGCAGCTTCAGGAAGCACTGGGAGCGCCGCTGGAGCGCAGCCCCAACAAAGAGCCAGTGTTGGTGAGCAGCTGCAGCGCATCCTGATGTAATGGCCGCCAGCGCTCTGCTGCAGTCAGACCTGCAGCTGCTTCAGCCGTCAGCATGAAAACCACCGCCTGCTTTTCTGACCTGCCTGCTATAAATATGTCCCACCAGACGTCCGCCGCCTCTCCCAGGCTTCTGCATTGCGTCACTCTCACTTCTCCTGTATCTTCAGGTGCATGCGGTAATAACAGGCACACACACCTGCAGACACAACACACATGCTTTCCATCACTTCCACAAACACACTCCGCTGAACAGCCGACCGCAGCAGAACTCCAGCTTCATTTTCCATTACAGAGCAGGAAAACCCCCACCCAGCATGTCAGGCTGTCACAGTGGCTCTGTAATGAGGCGGAGCCGCGTGTGCTGGGCCGCAGGTGAGGCCTGGGGGGGGGCGTTTTGACAGAGATGAGTGGAAAATCATTTGGGTTGTTTGCTGCTTCCACCATCTGTCCGTACGGAGGGGCGTGACCCATGTCCTCAATGCAGGCGGACCGGGTTCGAGTCTGACCCGTCTCCCTCTCTCATACCCTGTTTCCTGTCTGCCTACTCTCCATAAAAACGAGCTAGTAGCGCCAGCTAGGACAGAACCACGGAGAGAACATGGCAGGAAGCACGGTGGAGGCAGCATTATGCTGGAGGAAGCTGCTCACAATCATTTGAAGAATGATGGAGAAAAGTCTGCAGCTGATCAGAAAGAGCTTCAGATAAATCATTTATTAAAGAGAAATCAATCCGTCAACATTTCTAATCTTTGCTGACGATGTTTTCACTACAAAAAAAACAAAAACACATTTTTCTAATTGAATCTAGAAATGTTTTTCTTCTTGTAATTGATTTAATGTGGAAACAATGTAAAGTGAGCTGAAGGTGGATCACCTTTGGGACAGGTCCTGCAGCAGTGTCCTGGAAGCAGCACCGAGTCGTCGCAGTCGGGGGCGGGACAGTCCTGCTTGATGTTCCTGCAGTCGACCTTCCCGGACACCTTCCCTCGCCGGCTCTTCAGCTGCCAGACATGCAGACACAGCAGTGAGCCGAGCGGCCGCTCCTCTGACCTCACAGGAAGCGCCTTATAAGGACTTACCGCTTCACAGCGGCACTGGACGCAGTGCATGACGCCGAAGGGCTCCCCCAGGTCCGGGTGCCAGGTGTCGTCCAGGGAGTAGAACCGACCGCCGAAGGAGCATCCTGTGAAAACACGCAGATTCAACATGGCCGCCTCCTCTCATCCAGGCGCTCGCTGTCCATCATGATGGCTAACATATAGAAAATCAGTAAACGGATCTATGTGGGATAAACCACTGAAATATGGCTGACCCCCCAGGGTGCTATGACAGGGAGGGGGTGGGGGCAGAGCGCAGAATGGGGGGGGGGGGGGGGGGGTCACCTAGTGACCGAGCGCCTTTAGGTCCAGTTTGAAAACGACGCTGTCCAATCATAGCTGTGTATCTACCTGTGTGTATCTACCTGTGTGTATCTACCTGTGTGTATCTACCTGTGTGTATCTACCTGTGTGTATCTACCTGGGCAGCCTGTGAAGGAGCTTTCTAATCTCAGCAGGTCTTTCCTGGTTAAATAAAAAATTAAATGATGAAACTTAAACTGCAGAACAGATTTTATTTCCCTCCTGATCAGAAGGAAAATAAAATAAAAGAACTGCATCGTTTAATGTTTGACTTTATGACTAACGAGCAGCCTTTGAACGCTAGACCAGCTCCTGCAAAGCTGACCGAACCTGAGAGCCTCCATCCTATCTAATGGGAATGAACATGGAGAAGGAATGAACCTGGAGAAGGAATGAACCTGGAGAAGGAATGAACCTGGAGAAGGAATGAGCCTGGAAAAGGAATGATCCTGGAGAAGGAATTAACCTGGAGAAGGAAGGAGCCTGGAAAAGGAATGAGCCTGGAAAAGGAATGAGCCTGGAAAAGGAATGAACCTGGAAAAGGAATGATCCTGGAGAAGGAATGAACCTGGAGAAGGAAGGAGCCTGGAAAAGAAATGAACCTGGAAAAGGAATGATCCTGGAGAAGGAATGAACCTGGAGAAGGAAGGAGCCTGGAGAAGGAAGGAGCCTGGAAAAGAAATGAGCCTGGAAAAGGAATGAGCCTGGAAAAGGAATGATCCTGGAGAAGGAATGAACCTGGAGAAGGAATGAACCTGGAGAAGGAATGAGCCTGGAAAAGGAATGATCCTGGAGAAGGAATTAACCTGGAGAAGGAAGGAGCCTGGAAAAGGAATGAGCCTGGAAAAGGAATGAGCCTGGAAAAGGAATGAACCTGGAAAAGGAATGATCCTGGAGAAGGAATGAACCTGGAGAAGGAAGGAGCCTGGAAAAGGAATGAACCTGGAAAAGGAATGATCCTGGAGAAGGAATGAACCTGGAGAAGGAAGGAGCCTGGAGAAGGAAGGAGCCTGGAAAAGAAATGAGCCTGGAAAAGGAATGAGCCTGGAAAAGGAATGATCCTGGAGAAGGAATGAACCTGGAGAAGGAAGGAGCCTGGAAAAGGAATGAGCCTGGAAAAGGAATGAGCCTGGAAAAGGAATGAGCCTGGAAAAGGAATGAGCCTGGAAAAGGAATGATCCTGGAGAAGGAATGAACCTGGAGAAGGAAGGAGCCTGGAAAAGGAATGAGCCTGGAGAAGGAATGAACCTGGAGAAGGAAGGAGCCTGGAAAAGGAATGAGCCTGGAGAAGGAAGGAGCCTGGAAAAGGAATGAGCCTGGAAAAGGAATGAGCCTGGAAAAGGAATGAGCCTGGAAAAGGAATGAGCCTGGAAAAGGAATGAACCTGGAGAAGGAAGGAGCCTGGAAAAGGAATGAGCCTGGAGAAGGAAGGAGCCTGGAAAAGGAATGAACCTGGAGAAGGAATGAGCCTGGAAAAGGAATGAGCCTGGAAAAGGAATGAGCCTGGAAAAGGAATGATCCTGGAGAAGGAATGAACCTGGAGAAGGAAGGAGCCTGGAAAAGGAATGAGCCTGGAGAAGGAATGAGCCTGGAAAAGGAATGAGCCTGGAAAAGGAATGAGCCTGGAAAAGGAATGAGCCTGGAAAAGGAATGAACCTGGAGAAGGAATGAACCTGGAGAAGGAATGAACCTGGAGAAGGAATGAACCTGGAGAAGGAAGGAGCCTGGAAAAGGAATGAGCCTGGAGAAGGAAGGAGCCTGGAAAAGGAATGAACCTGGAGAAGGAAGGAGCCTGGAAAAGGAATGATCCTGGAGAAGGAATGAGCCTGGAAAAGGAATGAGCCTGGAAAAGGAATGAGCCTGGAAAAGGAATGAGCCTGGAGAAGGAAGGAGCCTGGAAAAGGAATGAACCTGGAGAAGGAATGAGCCTGGAAAAGGAATGAGCCTGGAAAAGGAATGAGCCTGGAAAAGGAATGATCCTGGAGAAGGAATGAACCTGGAGAAGGAAGGAGCTTGGAAAAGGAATGAGCCTGGAAAAGGAATGAGCCTGGAAAAGGAATGAGCCTGGAAAAGGAATGAGCCTGGAAAAGGAATGAGCCTGGAAAAGGAATGAGCCTGGAAAAGGAATGATCCTGGAGAAGGAATGAACCTGGAGAAGGAATGAACCTGGAGAAGGAATGATCCTGGAGAAGGAATGAACCTGGAGAAGGAATGAACCTGGAAAAGGAATTATCCTGGAGAAGGAATGAACCTGGAGAAGGAATGATCCTGGAGAAGGAATTAGCCTGGAAAAGGAATGATCCTGGAGAAGGAATGAACCTGGAAAAGGAATGAACCTGGAGAAGGAATGAGCCTGGAAAAGGAATGAACCTGGAGAAGGAATGATCCTGGAGAAGGAATTAGCCTGGAAAAGGAATGATCCTGGAGAAGGAATGATCCTGGAGAAGGAATGAACCTGGAGAAGGAATGAACCTGGAGAAGGAATGATCCTGGAGAAGGAATTAGCCTGGAAAAGGAATGATCCTGGAGAAGGAATGATCCTGGAGAAGGAATGAACCTGGAGAAGGAATGAGCCTGGAAAAGGAATGAGCCTGGAAAAGGAATGAGCCTGGAAAAGGAATGAGCCTGGAAAAGGAATGAACCTGGAGAATGAATGAACCTGGAGAAGGAATGAGCCTGGAAAAGGAATGATCCTGGAGAAGGAATGAACCTGGAGAAGGAATGAACCTGGAGAAGGAATGAACCTGGAGAAGGAATGAACATGGAGAAGGAATGAACCTGGAGAAGGAATGAGCCTGGAAAAGGAATGAACCTGGAGAAGGAAGGAGCCTGGAAAAGGAATGAGCCTGGAGAAGGAATGAACCTGGAGAAGGAATGAACATGGAGAAGGAATGAACCTGGAGAAGGAATGAACCTGGAGAAGGAATGAGCCTGGAGAAGGAAGGAGCCTGGAAAAGGAATGAACCTGGAGAAGGAATGAGCCTGGAGAAGGAATGAGCCTGGAAAAGGAATGATCCTGGAGAAGGAATGAACCTGGAGAAGGAAGGAGCCTGGAAAAGGAATGAGCCTGGAAAAGGAATGATCCTGGAGAAGGAATTATCCTGGAGAAGGAATGAACCTGGAGAAGGAATGAACCTGGAAAAGGAATGATCCTGGAGAAGGAATGATCCTGGAGAAGGAGACATTTGCAGAAAATCTAGCAAAGAATCACAGGAAAAAGGTTCAGTTGCTTCAAGGTGTCATTTAAAGATGAAATAAAACCATAAACGAGCGGAAATAAATCCAAACAGGTTGGAAAAAGTCTGGGATTGTGGGCAGGAAGGGTTTCACCTTCTCAGATCCCTTCAAGCTAAAAAGGTTCTGGATCCTTAAGCAGCTCCATGACTGATGAAACGTCCCCCCCCCCCAGCAGATGCAGCAGCTCTGTGTCATTATTCTCATAACAGCACATGGATAATTGAGCCTTTGTCACTCTGAGGCCCTACAGGAGTATTCCAGGCTGCTTGTTTGGGAGCGCTGCCTGCATGTCAGCTAACTTATAATTACAATAAAGCGGCTGCGCTGCAGAGCTGCTGGCTGCGCCTGCCACCCGTCTGTCTCTGCTCCAATAAATCATCTCGCCGGAGCCAGCACTTGTAATGGAAAGTCGATTGATTACAGTTTCCAGCTCTGAATTGCATAGTATAAGGCGGTGGTTAGCGCGCAGTTTAAAGTAGCTACCTTATAAAAACCACATCGAGTCCTGCGTGGATCTAAAGGCATTCGCAGCACTTATGACTCAGAGAGAAAACAGATGCAAACATGAAGGGAGACATGTGAAGATAAACTCTGGGATGAAAGGAGAGCTTCAGGTTTTAGGACTTGGACTCGTTGGAGCCACATCACAACAAATGAGCTCCAGCTTGGAAGTCAGACGTATTTGCCTGAACTGAATGATTCACACCATGTTGGACCAAATCCAGACAAAGTTCTGCTTTCATCATGTGATCACTTCCCAAACTCAGCTTCCTGCTGGAACGTCACAAAACTCAGGATCTGGACCAAGATGGTGAATCTGAAGCTTTAGGATTTAGAAAAACTTTATATTCCTGTTTAAAACTCTAAACTATCAGAGGAGGAACGGATCAATGATCCATGAAGTTTGGGATTTTATAAAACCTTTATAAACAAAACAGTTTTTCAGCCAAGTTGGTGGAAAAAAAAACAGAAGCTCTAAAATTGCTCTTTCTAACAATTAATTTGAATGTTTAATGAAAGACTCTATTTTTATATAATCTATTATCAGTATAAAATAAACCATTGCTGGGGTGATGGACCAGTTTAGAACCAGTTGGTCTGAACTAAGTCCCCCCTGTGAACTAGTTAGTCTTAGTTTAAACTAATCTGCTCTTATATTTAAAGTATGTCACAGTTGAAGCTCCCTGCTGCCCCTAGAGGCTGATATGGGATGCATTTGTTTGGATAATTTCCTAATTTGCTAAAAGTTTAAGTTCTCTTTGTTAGCTCATTTATTTAATAAACTCTATTTCTAGTTTTTCATATTCCTACAGCCTAGATCTGCTGGCTGTAGAAGTTGCTGGTTCACTCACCTGCCAGGCCCTTGGAGGGCAGCGGCTCTCTCTCGGACTGGATGGGCAGCGCGGGAGTCTTGAGGCGCGAGGCTGTCCCGGTGCGGAGCCACCACGCGCAGCTGAGCGCGCACAGCAAGCAGCGGAGCGCGCGGGGAGCCTGCATCCCAACCCTCCTCAGGCTTTGCTTCCTTCCTCCAACTCTAGTTTCTCCTGATGCTTCTGCTCTGGTTCCTCCGGCAGGAAAAGCAGAGAGTCCAGCAGCTGAGGGCGGAGAGAGAGTCTCTGATCTGGGTCTGATCTGAGCAGGGGCGGCCCTCCCCGCTTTATAGGCTCCTTCTGACAGCTGGGGGGGGGGGGGGTATGGAAATGAGTCAGCCTCTGATTTAGTGACTATAAATCTGCTTTTTATTCCACTGCTTAAAAAGGGACATTTTCTTCATCATAATATCGATGAGAACAAAGAAAATGTTTTCTGCTGAATATTTAAACGCTTTGATTCTAACTAAACTTAAAATAATGTTTAACAACTAAAATATGAACCTGGTTTTGTTTCTAAAGTTTCTTTTAGATTGTAACCTGGAGGCTTAAAATCTCATAAACCTTTCAGGAGAGTGAACCACTAAAACCACTAAAACCAGTGAAACCATTAAAACCACCCAAGTCTTTGTGTTTGTATCTGAAATGAGGTTTTAAAGCATTGAGCATATTGAGCATTAAACTGTAGGAAGCTTTGATGAAGCTGCAGCTTTAGGAGCATTATTGCTCCTCATGGATTTATGTCTATTTTCACGCTCTGCAGCAATAAAGGGACGTGAGGAGCAGCGGGGGCAGCCGACACCCACGCAGGGCGCGCTCCCGTGGAGTGGATGAGTGAATCTGCAGATACATTTACAGTGAGGAATGTTTTTGTTTTTCTGCAGAGGAAGGACAGGCAGACTGGTTCAGAGCTTCTGTTCCTGCTGGTTCTACTGGGACTGATGGAGCTCTTCCTGACGCAGGTGGTGGTGGTGGGGGGTGGGGGGGGTTATTGGGACCTATTTAGAAAGTCTTCAATGGAACAAAGGCTACATGTGAGGTAAATGTCCCAAAGGGGCTTCCTCTGAGGGGGGGGTAGCTTTACATGACTATGGCCTCCGGAGGGAGGGGGGTGTTGGGGGGTTAGGGCAGAGGGTTGGTCAGACTCTGAGCTGCAGGGAATGAATGCATGAATGAATGAATAATAAAGGGAAATGGATCCATCAGGCTGATCAGATGGACCAGCTTCTGTCCGCACTGCGCATGCGCTCACAGCTGATGACGCAAAGCACTCATTGGATGTTTATTTCAGGTAATGTGGCTGCGGGGGGGGGCATGATGGTCATTTTGGGGGCTATATCAGGTGAAAAATGGGGGCTGATGGCGGGTTTCATTACGCAGGGGGGGGGGGGGGGGGGAAATGTGGATTGGGGGCGTGAGTCATAAACCAGTTTATTAGGGAAAAAATTTTTAAATGTGTTTTTAAACCTGCCCCCCCCCCCCCACTGTAACGGGCCCCGCTTTACCCAATGAGTTGAAACCAATCGGGAAACTGCAGCAAAAAAAATTTTAAACCCAGTTTAAATAAAAATAATAGAAGCAAAATTTTAAACCCCATTAACATGAGGATAAAAGGCGCCTTTATTTCTGGATGTTTCAGTAAAAACAGAAATTTCTTTCTAGAATGGAAATGAAGGCAGAAACACAACAATAATAAAGGTCAGAAAATCTAAATTTCCGAAATTTAAAAACAAATGGAAAAATAAACCCGCATCCATCCATCACCCTTTCCAAACACCCACACCCATCCAATCCAATCCATCCCATCATCCTTTCCACCCTTTCCACCCAAATCCATCCATCCCACCCATCCATCCATCTTTCCTTTCCATTCCATCCATCATTCTTTCATCCTTTCATCCATTTCCACCCCTTTTCCCAACCTTCCAAACCCTTTCCTTTCCATCCCATCCCAACCATACCACCCAAACCACCCAAATTCCCCCATCCCACCCACCCAAAACCCCCATCATCACCCAATCCATCCCATCCCATCCATCCCATCCATCCAACCCTTTCTTCATCCCATCCACCCATCCATCCATCCTTTCCAAACCAAAATTCCATCATCCAACCCATAAATCCTCATCCATAAAACCATCCATAAATCCACCCAACCCATACCACCCACCCAAATCTTTTCCCATCATCCATCCACCCCACCCCACCATCCACCCATCCATCATCCATCACCCCACCCATCATCCACCCCATCCCATCCAACCTTTTCCTCCACCCATCCAACCATCCATCCCATCATCCACATCCCATCCTTCATCCATCCCAATCCAACCATCACCCCCATCCATCATCCATAAAACCACCCCCAAAACCCATACCACCCACCCAAAACCATCCACCCCATCCCCACCCATCCATCCATTCCCCCAACCCCCATCCATATCCATCCCACCCAACCACCCATCCATCACCCAATCCCCCCCATCATCCATCACCCAAACCATCCATCACCATCATACCCCATCCATCCTCATTCCCATCCAACCACCCAAACCATCCATCCACCCAAATCCCATCCAACCATCATCCACCCATCCCACCCATCCATCCACCCATCCAATCATCCATCCCATCCACCCATCCACCCATCCACCCAAACCACCCCTCCCATCATCCACCCAAACCTCCCCCCCCATCCATCCACCTCCATCATCCATCATCCACCCACCCACCATCCATCATCCACCCATCCCCCAAACCATCCACCCATCCCCATCCACCCAAACCATCCAATCCATCATTCATCCATCATCCATCACCCATCCCACCCCATCCATCCCATCACCCAAACCCAATCCCACCATCCCCATCCCCATCCCATCATCCACCACTCCATCCATCCCCCACCCCTACCCATCCATCCCCCAACCATCCATTCCACCCCATCCATCCCCCCCCCTCCACCCACCCAAACCCCCTTCCACCCCAACCACCATCCATCATCCATCCATCCTCCATCCCACCCAAATCCATCCATCCATTCCATCCCATCCCATCCTTTCCATCCCACATCCCCCATCATCCACATCCACCCATCCACCCATCCATCCATCCCATCTTTCCATCACCCCCACCCAAACATCCATCCATCCATCCTCCATCCTCCATCACCCATCCCATCCATAAACCACCCCATCCACCCCTCCATCATCCCCCCCCAACCATCCATCCACCCATCCATCCACCCATCACCCCATCATCCACCCATCCACCCAAACCCACCCAACCTCCCATCCATCCATCCATCCTTCCATCCACATCCCACCCATCCTTTCCATCCACCCCCACCCATCCATCCATCCATCCACCACCCATCATCCACCCATCCACCCTTTCCATCCCACCCCACCCACCCATCATCCATCCATCCCATCATCCACCCCATTCCATCCAAACCATCCATCCACCCATCCATCACCCTTCATCCATCCATCCACCCAACCATCCATCCACCCTTTCCAAACCTCCTTTCCATCCCACCACCACCCCCCCACCCCACCCATCCTTCCATCATCCACCCCAACCACCCAAACCACCCAAATCCACCCCATCCATCATCCTTTCATCCACCATCCACCCATCCACCCCCCAAACCCATCCATCCCATCCACCCAACCATCCATCCATCATCCTTTCCATCCACCCCTTTCCATACATCCATCCATCCATCCCACCCATCCATCATCCATCCTTCCATCCACCCCAATCCCCCATCCATCCATCCCATCCTTCCACCCACCCAAACCATCCATCCAACCATCCTTTCCATCCATCCATCATCCTTTCCATCCATCCAACCAACCTTCCCATCCATCCCCAAAACCTTTCATCCACCCATCCACCCACCCACCCATCATCCATCCACCCCATCCACCATCATCCACCCTTCCACCCAAACCATCCACCCAAACCAAATTCCACCCATCCCATTCCATCCATCATCCACCCATCCATCACCCAACCAAATCCTTTCACCATCATCCATAAAACCAAACCCCATCCATCCATCCAACATCCACCCAAAATTCCATCATCCACCCCATCCACCCAACCCCATTCCACCCCACCCATCCCCCCATCCATCCATCCATCATCCATCCCATCCATCCATCCATCCACTTTCCCCCACCCATCCAACCATCCACCCATCCATCCATCCACCATCCACCCAACCACCCCCAAAATTTTTCCCCAAACCCCAACCCATCCATCCACCATCCATCCATCCGTCCCCACCCATCCCATCCATCCATCCATCCATCCATCATCCATCATCCATCATCCACCCCATCCATCATCCATCATCCATCCAACCATCCAATCCATCCACCAAACCCATCCTTTCCACCCATCCATCACCCCCATCCACCCACCCAAATCCATCCCATCCATCTTTCCATCACCATCCATCCATCTTTCCCCCACCCCATCCACCCATCCTCATCCATCATCCACCCCAACCATCCATCCATCCATCCATTCCCCCTCCATCCCATCCATCATCCACCCAACCACCCATCCATTCCCCACCCCTCCATATCCACCCCACCCCACCCATCCTCCATCATCCATCATCCATCTTCCTTCCTTTCCATCACCCATCATCCATCCAACCATCCACCCCATCCACCCCAACCTTCCATCCATCATCCATCTTCCACCCATATCCCCATCCATCCTCCTTCCTCCCACCCAATCCATCACCCCCTTTTCCCATCCATCCTCCATAAAATCCATCCAACCATCCATCCATCCTCCAATCCATCCACCCATCCACCCCAATCCCACCCACCCATCCACCCAAATTCCATATCCATCCATCATCCATCCATCCATCCCATCATCCATCCCTCCACCCCCACCCATCCATCATCCATCCATCCACCCAAACCATCCATCCTCCTTTCCCATCCATCATCACCCACCCAAATCCACCCACCCACCCACCCCTCCATCCTCCACCCATCCATTCCATCCCCCATCCTCCATCCCTTCCAAACCAAACCATCCATCCATCCATCCATCACCCATCATCCCCATCCATCCATCCAACCATCCACCCTTTCCACCCAAAACCATCCACCCACCCCATCCATCACCATCCACCCTTTCCAAATCCATCCACCCATCCACCCATCCATAAACCAAAACCAACCATCCACCCAAATCCATCCACCCATCCTTTTTCCCAACATCCATCCATA